AGCCATTTGTTGGATAAATACGTTAGAATTTAGATGCTTATATTTACATATTTTAAAGAAAGCACTTTTTGTCGAACTGAAGCCTTGAAATTATCAAGAATTAATACAGATACTAGTTTGTAAAAGTAGTTTCAGAAAATTGGCAAAATCCATTTTTCCAATTTTAAACAATCGTTTAGAAATTCACTCAAATAAACGAATACTTAAAGGTCAGTGTGAGAGAAAACATGAAGCTGCGTAGGTATCATCATAAGATAATTATGGTACCGGAAGTTTAAAAAGAAAAAAAAAGAAAAAAAATTAATAATAGTTTTCGCTTTCGTTTAGTTGATTATGGCAAAGCACCACGAGGGCTATCTGCCTAGGGAAGGGATGTCTTCGTGGACGACTCTCTAAGCGAACCTGGCTCGTATACATGTTACATGTTCACATAAAAAAACCCTACAAAAACCCCCATGCAGTTTGCCCTAATCGATTAGCCCAGGATCGAACCCAGATCCTAATTGTTACCTTCCCTGTTTCAGCGAGTAAAGGTTGTACATGAATAGAATGAATTATTTGTGAATCTTGTACCCCATATTTATCCTTTTAAAAATTATTAGGTAATTTATGAAATCTATTATTATTTATTCCTTTAGTATTATAACTGATTAGATTATTTTGCTTTCATTTTTTATCTTAATTCAAAAATTCCAGATTTTACCTTTAATTTCATACCTCCAAAATGCTTTTTTAAGTTTGTTAATATAATTTTTATAAATATTAAAATTTATTTTTGGATAATTGTTGTTTTAAGTTGGTATTTTAATTGTTTAAATTTATACTTCATATCATTTATGAAATTTTGAGGTTTTTTATTTAATTTGTCTTTTATTGTTTATTTTAAATTTTAATGTCTATTTTTTGTTTTTGTTTATTAAAAAAGTTAGGAGTTTTTACTTGTTTGTTAATTAAGACTTTTCTTTTACTGAAATGAGATTACTTCTTGAAAGTATTTAAACTGGCATTTTATTCATACACTATTCAGCAATCCGATAAAAGATTTCCGTTATCTCAAGGCATTACTTGCAGAACGAAATGAATTTGAAATTATCGCATTAGCCCAAACGCACAGCAATTCATGGCTTTTCTACTTTCTTTTTATTCTCTCAATTTATCTTATGCCGCCGTGTGAAGACTGCAGATATCTGTGAGCAAGTATTTTTATATTATACAAGTGAACATCCTATTTTAAGCGTTCATTACGTTTTCATTTCCATTATCAGACGCAGACAGATAAAATAAACTCACAGTTAAACATTATGTTATTGCCACAAATTACTAGTTAAAATACTTTTTAAAAAAAGATGCTAACTGTTAAGATTAAACGAAGGCAACCACTCACATCAAAACTTGATTACATGAAAATTCTTCATCATTACCGTGTAGCTACTTCGTTGTTACTATGCAAATATATTCTACTAGCAGCTACGCTGCCAGCCTTCGTCTGGCTTTTTTTTAAATGTACCATAAAAATGCCTGAAGGGAACACCAGACGTTAAATTTAAAAACTGCGCAGAATTTTACTGTGCAGAAAACTTCCGAAAAAAAAACACAAATTTTTTAAAAATATAGTACATATAAAAAAAATTAACCAACTTTCCGTTGAAGAAAAAAAAATCATATTCAATATCTTACAAACGGTGAAATAAGTAAAAAATAACATAAAAGAAACTCAAAAAACAAAAATTTCCGCGCAGAATTTTACTCTGCAGAACAACTTTATCAAAAAAAATCAATAAAAATGTATTATATATATAAAAAAATGACAATGAAATCTGCCAATTCTTAAAAACAGTGACATAAGAAATACGATGAAAAATTGTTGCCAAACCCATATTTCTAAAAGAATGAAACTATTAAAAATTTCGTCAAACATCTATCAACAACGATAAGAAAGAAAAATTGTTGCCAAAATCACATTTTTAAAGATGTGAGATGTGAGAAGTGTACTCGGAAGCTCCATTTAAAAAAAATTAATATAAAATATTATCATTTTTCCAGAATTCTTTTTGTAAAAGTAGTCACAAGGATGAAAGTTTAACGTGTCCAAAAATCAAAGAAAAATAAATTGTACATTTTTAAAAATAAACTTTTTCAAAAAAAATCCCGTTGAAAATTTGTTAAGCTCACTTTGTTAAATAAATTCGTATTAAATCGATTTATTGAAACACGAAATTTATTTTAAGTTCGTAAAATAGCTAAGTGCCTAGGTTTCATGACGATGTGAAAATGGAGTGTGTAGAGTAAAATCTCGCTTTCCTATAGTCCATTATGTCTCAAAATGACGCGATTTCGTCACAAAACATAAAATACAAACAATTCTAATTCGAATTTCGAAAAAAATCGCTTCGAGGTGCACTGGCTCTTGTCTAGATTCACCTATGTACAAAATTTCGTAGCTGTGAGTCTATTAGCTTACGCGCAGGGCGAACGAAAGATACAGACACAGACAGACTCTTTCTTTTATTATATGTAGAGAGTGAAATCCAAATCAAAAGATCCATCTGGTATCGCCATTTTCCACATCTTCGACTTCGAGAATGCTGGTCTCAGGATATCGTCATTGCCATCAATTCCATACATCCGTAACCATTATCTTTAAAGTACAGCAGCAGCATCATTAGCATCTGAAATGGAAAATCTAAAAGAGAAATAAAAAAAAAGGGGAAAGCGGTGTTCAGAACTAAGTTCGAAGCAGTTATCATCAACACTCTGATTGTACGTTTCCTAAGAATCAATTAAGAATTCTTATTATCCTTGAAAATCCTGATCGCCATTTCATCAACATTTAGGCCATCGTCACATGAAATATAAAAGAAAACAAATATCTTTAATTTATTAGTAGTTATTTTAATTTAGCTACGTCCCCTTTCTTCTCTTAAAAACTACTAATATATGAATCTAAAGAATATCATCGGAAAACTAATCCTCATTATATCCTCTTATTAATTCTGCAATGCGGTCATTTCTTTTCCAAACCCCGTTCAAAATATAAACAAAGAAATCAACTCTATAAATATCCCTTTTGTGAAATGCGCACTCACTTTCCTGCCTTACTTTCACTAAGCAACGTATGCTACTCATGTCTCCGCTTCATCCATTGAGTAAAGATGTGATAACTTGTATAAAATGTGCGGGTGCTTGTCACAGCCAAAATGATGTGTGACTGAGAAGATGTGGCGCAAGAATTAAGTGTCCAGAAATAAATTGTGTCTTGCTATCTATGCCAGGTCTGTAAGCTTTTCTTTCTCCATTAAAAGTCTTATGAATCTATGCAACTCTGTCGCTCTACATACACTGAAAAGAAACATCAAATTTCCACAAAATTCATTACATATATATATGTATTTAAAATTCAAGTTTGATTTGATAATCTCGTAGGAAAATAAAAAGATAATATTAATTTTTAATTACGAAATACTCATGAAAAGAGAAATTTTGAAAAGTGCGAAACTTATTAAATGTGTTGTGGAATGAAACATGTTGTGGAAAGCTAACATTTTAAAATGTGAAAATTTAAATGGATTCTAAAGAAATGGATTATAAAGAGTTGGAAAGAGTTTAGCAAGCGTTCGAAAGACATTATTATACAGCTAAAAATGTTCACTGCAGTTATCTTCACTAAGAAACTTGCATCTTGTAAATTAAAATTTTTTAAAGATTTTGCAAAAGTGAACGTTCTAGTATTCAGATAGCTAAATTCAAATTTTGACTGAAAATAGGGTTTTAATATGAAATTTAAAGGAAACAGTCTTTTTGTTTTTATAAAATAAAGGAATATAAATATTAAAAAAATTATAAATTTAAACATTTTTTTTTAATTAAATACTTTTATCCAGAGGAAAGTATTGGTGAAAATTGAGAGCTGCTGCCTTAAGAACATATTCTTTCTGACCATCCATATTTAAAATGAATTAAAATGAAACATTTTTAAATATAAAAATATTTTAGAAGAAAACTATTACCTATTCCATTGAAAGATGGAATTGAAATATGCTTGTTCTATTATTCCTTATATTCTAATATATACAAATCAAGCAGAAAGCACTATGTGTCTTCAGCGGCTTACTTTAAAAGTTAATTTTCCCTTCTTTTTGCATGCCTTCGCGAACTAATTGGAAGCATACTTGACACGTATTCGAGAGGTCTAGGGTTCGAGTGCCGCCGAGGCTCCATTTCTCATAGCCCCTGATTAAGAGAAAATCCAAACGACTCTACGAGTGGCGCCCAAACTAAAAGGCGGTACATGATAATTCGTCACCACGAGGATTTGGGGAGTAAATCCCCTAATTCCCAGTCGTTCTTTAAAAAGGAGCGTATATAAGGTTTTTTTTTTTTTTTTTTTTCCTTCCTTTCTGCATGTCTTTGTGGTGTAATTGGAAGCATATTTGACGCGTATTCGAAAGGTCGAAGTTCAAATCCTGGCGAGATTATAAGGTATTTCTCCCGCCTTCTTATCATGCCTTCGAGGTGTAATGGTCAGCACACTCGGCGCGTATTCGAGAGGTCCGAGATTCGAGTCCCGGCGAGGACACTGCTGATTTTTCACGTCTCTAGCATTAAACTAACCTAATGCATCTACAGTGGCGCCCGGGCTAAAAAAGGTGGTGGATGATGATTCTCCACCACCAGGATTTGGCGATTGGGTTCCCTAATCCCCAGTCACCCTTTAAAAGAGGGAGTATACAAGGTATTTCTACCACCTTCTTAGCATGCCTTCGTAGTACAATGGTTAGCACATTTGGCGCGTATTCGACAGGTCCGAGGTTCGAGTTCCCGCGAGGGCATTACTCATTTTTCACTTCTTCTGCTTCTAAATATCCTAATGTCTCTACAAAGTCATTGCACATGTTTTACGCCTTCTGCTTCAAAATAACCTAATGACTCTACAACTTATGCATATAGCCATCATGTGAACTAGCTTAAGTATCTATTTTCACAATCCATTTCTTTTTCAGGTTTTCCATGATGAAGCTTACTTTATCTCTGCCTGTCCTAATCATTCTAGGCAAATTTGTCTTTGCACAAGCTTACCTCATGCGAGACTTAGATTTTACTAGACCGTTGCCGTTGAGAATAGAATTGAATGTAAGTATGATATTGTGATTTCCTTAAATGTATTTCTGTTATAACTTAAAGACATACTCCTGCATGGTTCTACAGCAAAGATCGCCTTTTTTTTTTTTTTTTTTTTTTTTTTTTTTTAAATAGGAGAGGGAGGAAAATTCAATTATTTAGGTCCAAAATTTTCCGTCTGCTAGCGTATTTCAAATAAAGCAACAAAAGCCTTCTTGGGAGTTTATAACTTCATAACCAGAACATTTGAAAATATCTGTTAACGTTAATCAAGTACTTCCATTGATGTGCACTTTGAAGATAACAAAATTGCTATATAATCAAGCGAGTTATGGTAGCATAAATCTTAATTCTTTTGTATCCACAGTCGCAGTTTATTCAAAATATTGAATTTTTTTAGACTTTGGTGTAAACAACAAGTAAATTAAAATTTTAAAACTTAGCTCTGCCTGTACTTAGCTCTGCCTCTACTTTTGTCGTTAAATATTTCATCCTTGCAATATTGGGAGATATTCATGAAATTTCGTTTTAGAATATTCATAATTAAATATTAAAATCGCTGTTGTACTTAAATGTAATTGAATTATAATGCTAAACATTTACATTTAGAGAGGTATGATTTGAGTGGTATCGCGAAATAAAAGATTCAAATCTATGCTATCGGTCAACCTGTGAAGACAACTTCACGGCAAAGCACAGCACTAAAGTACAGCTCCCGACTCGGTCGATCGCTCTCAAGTTCATCCCTGTACTCAATACGCACATTACACCCAAGACAGGTGGGGTATTTATAGCCTTAACCTACCTTCGAGAATATTCTCGAGAAAACCGCTTTAAAATGCGTTCTAGAACGTTCTTGTTCCGTCTATGGCATATCGCCAATTTTGTAGCCAAATGGAGGATTTTGTGCCAGATCTGGCAGCCCTGTCTTTTCTTTCCACTTTCTGGCAACCCTAACACGCCACTTTAGGGGAAGCTATCTCACCGCAGCTGCGCAATTCGCAACAATATCGCCAATTTTCGACAAATATCACCAAATGGGCAATTTTGTGCTAAATAGGGCAATCCTACCTTTCCCTACTATTTTCTGGCAACCCTAACATGCGGGGAAGCTATCTCATCGCAGCTGGGCTTTCGCAAATATGTTTCTTTCTTTAACGAAAAATCTTTAATTAATAGTAAAATTGCCTAATTTCGCCTCTTAAATTAATTCAGTTAATTGGCTAGCGCGCGATTTGTCTGCACGATTTCAATGAATGGAAGCACTTTATGTCTGTTACGTTAAAATATTTTAGTCCGTTGGATAGATAGGCCTAAGGGCAAATTAAAATTCACATACGAACTATTGCAAAATGGAAGCATAAGAATGTGCTACCATTTTGTAATAACTCCAGTCAGAGTTATATTGCCAGACTACGCGGCAGTTAATTTGAAGAGAATATGCTTGTTTTCTTGCCTCGATAAAGCAATTGAAAATAAAAGAATTTACAATTGCATACAGTAAGTTAAATCCTTTGTCAGAATAGCGGATACCATCATAAAAAGGAAGATGCATTCTACAGGGTTCTTTTGAGGAAAAACGTGAACTTGTTATCTTTGCTTTCGCATGCTTTTAATGTTTTTAAAATCTTGATAAATTTAACTTTTCGATGTTTCTGTGGACTAGTTAAATTCTCTTAATTTATTGTCATATCGTTCATTACCTTCAAATAATCCCTGCAGACTTTTCTCTGTTTGGAACAGGTTATTCAGAATATAAGAACAGTTTCATATTGTCTGTCTTCTCCCGTTTTAAGAATGTCATTATCCCTTTCCGGCACGCTACCTTTTAAAGTCGGAGTTTTGATTAAAAAAAAAAAAAAAAAGTAGGCAGTCTAATTAGGCCTAGAGAAGTACACAAGTAAAATTTTGTGAAGATGGCACTTATCTTTTAATTCTGTGGGTGTGCTCAACGTGGGCACACTCACAGAATTAAAAGATAAGTGCCATCTTCACAAAATTTTACTTGTGTACTTCACTTATTTCGAAGCTCTATTCAATCAGTGTGCCCAACGTGGGCACACTGATTGAATAGAGCTTCGAAAAGAGTGCTGAAACGAGCATTTTTGTCAATGAACTGACCGATGAGATGCGGAGAAACAAAGAATACAGACTCTCAGTTGTCCTAGGTTATCGGTGAGCCCAGTCTGGGCACAACTAGGGGTTCGCCGTTTGATTTTACGCAAGATTTCAAGGTCAAAAATTTAAAACTAATATAGAATAATGATATTAGCATACAGCCAAAAAAATAACTTAGAAATTTCTTTTTAATTAATTCCTTTTATACGTTAAAAAAATCTGGAAGATTTCTTTGAAAAATGAGGGTCTTAAAAAACTAAACATGGCTAAAATATATGGATTGGTTTGTGTTGAGATGCTATCTACTATAAATAAAGAAGGTTCAGAGTTACCTTTTGTAACCTATAAATCCTTTTTCATTCAATTTTTCTGTGCGTACAGAAGAACATTTTTAGGTGTGTCCAGACCGGACACACTGTGCCGCAAAGAGTTAAGAACGTAACGCCACCGGAGCTCTATCAAATATTTAACTGCTGCAACTTTTCTAGCTTTCGTTAACAATAGGAATATCATGCATTAGCAGAGTTTGACTATGCAAGGAAGCTGAAAAGTAAAATTGTACAAAAAACTGTTTTTAATTTTTATCGTGAAGGTAAACTGATGGGAAACTCTTGGGCAATTTCCATCTAATTAAGCCTAGGTTTTACATTTTCTTATTCTTTTAATAATCCTGTCTAATGCTTTAGTTTAAGGGGAGGGCGGAAACAAGTTAAATCAAACATTTTTGTGAAAACTAAATGTTTTGGCAACCTTCAGCAACCGGACAGGAACAATTTCAAGTGAATATTAGACTGTAAAGTGAACATTCAGATGGCTTACATGACCAGAAGTCTTTTCAGAGACTTGCTATGAAAACTAATTTGTCTTCCAGTCACTTACTTTAATATTGTTTATCATTTGCTTTAGAAGGAAGTACAGGAGAAAATCTTGTTCATTCTTCTTTAACTCCTGGATGTGCCTGAAATATCGTTTAGAAAAATTAATTTATAGTTTGTTTTAACTAATAGTTAAAACTTTCCTGTATCTGACGTCGATGTAGTCAGTCGTAACTGAAAACATTCTTAATAGAGCTACTAAATTCCAGGTACATTGCTCACAAAAGGAAAAATGGTACAATTCTATATCTCCCGTTCTACTGGACAGATCGACGAAATTCAACTTGCGTTTTTCATGTCCCGAAAGCGCTACTTAGGATATGTATTAGATTTATATATAGCATTGTTTTAATATAGGTATTTTAACACAAAATATGACATTTTCTGAAATAATATACCATTTTTTTACCATATTTCAATTTTACGACTCAAATTAAGTAAAACTATCAAGTTTTGTAAAAATCTCACGAGTAGATTGTAAAATTAGCTCTTAAAATTAGCTCCTCAATGTTAATTGAGTTTGGCATATAATGTACTTATTAATCTCTCTTTTTTTATTAAACTTATTTGATTCTTCCTTTCACATTTCGAAATTCAGGTTCAGTCCAAATAAAATTCGCAGTTTTTATGATTTATTTTTAAAATTAATATTTTTAAATAATTTTTATGCGTTTTAGAAAAAACATTTTGAATTATAATCTATAAAAATCTACGATTATCTTAAGAAAGACGTATTTCTAAGCATACCTGCAAAAAGTTACAGCTTTGTATTCAAAATTTCCGAAGATATACGCAAATTTATATATGGTGAGTTTTGAATTTTGGCATATTTGTTGAAAGCGATAAAACATCAAAGGTAGTTTATACAATTTGCTAAAATTATTTGAAAGTAGGAACGAAGTGACTTTTTTCCTTCTCCGGCATAATGGAAGGAGGTTTGAAAGGAAAATTCGTTACCATATATTAGGAAGTTCGCCAAGTGAATATTCTTGGCGTAAACTGAAAAAATTGCACCAAGATAAATTTTTGAATTTCTCCGTAAATTTCGTACCAAATTTTACAAAATTTAATATCCAAGCATAATTTGAGTCGTAGAACCGAAATATGGAAAAAAAATTAGTGCGTTATTTAAAAAAAAAGTCCGATTTTGTGTCAAAATATCTATGTTAGAACAATGCTATATATAAATGTAATATATATCCTATGTCGCGCTTTCGAGACATGAAAAACGCAATTTGAATTTTGTCAGTAGAACGGGAGATTTAGGACTGTCCCCCTCTTTTTCGCAGTGTACAAAAGGCGTTCATGAAACATTCGCAGGAAAATTAAACATTTAATTAGTATGGAAGTCAATGGAACTAATAAATCTTAAGATAAAACTAATAAATCTTAAGATTCCTTAAGCCAGGCATACTTCAATGTTAAACTGAGAGATAAGTAAAACGAAGAGGCGCAATATGAGTAAATTTGTAAACTTTGAAATGCTAAACTGCATCTTTCTTTTCAGCTTCAAACAGAAGAGCAAATGATGAAAACAAAAGCGAGACATGTGTCTATGTGATAGCAACTGAGGACAGTTCGAGAGTGTTCTAACTCAATAACATGAAATGAAGCCATTGAAGCAATCTGTCTAAAAACGCATGAAAATAAACTGAAAACAAGTTCTTGAAAAGCTGATAGCAAAGGAAAATGCGAAGTCATTAACCAGAATGAAAAAATATTTTATGGATTGGAAAACCTCTTAAGGAAATATATTTCCTAACAAAATTTCTCTAGCATGTATAAGGCCCATCAGGCTCTTAGTGATAGAAACGTGAGAAAACAATTATGCCTTTGCAGGTATTCGATTTTTCACGAAATAAATCATAAACACTTATTGCCTCGAAAAAATTCCAGAAAGGATTAAGCATGATTTAATTCGCAATAATAAATGAAGGCGTTATCTTTGTTGTTGCAAGGTTTAGTCTCTCTAGATTGGCAACAAATCTACTATTCTGCTGTTTCAAATGTAAACAAACATGTCCGCCATGTTATTTAAAGATTAGGCTTAACCGCACTTAAACAGGTTTTTAAATTGTTCATAATTGTACAAATATTGCTTGCAGATTTACTAAAGGCACAAAAACTTTAACTGGAAGATATATAACTGGCCCTAAACCCTCCCCCCTCTTTTTTCGCAGTGTACATTTTTTATTTAAAAACATCTTTAGAGAATAATCCTTTTTCAATGAATTTTCCAGAGCAGACCAAGAAGAACCTGTATTGACCATAACGGAAGATGCGCCTTGATTACGTACAATGTCGCTGATAGAAAATATATTCGAGTATTAGATACAACGTAAGTTCATATTCAACTTTGTTATTTAGTCGCGTCGGAGATTTATGTGATATATTAATGTTACTGAAATCTCCAATACATAAACTGACAATATTGCACTGGAATCCATTGGGTTTCATCTTAAAATAGAATATATTAAAAACCACAATCTTTTCTTCTTTAAGCATATGCTGCTTTATTAAAATCGGCTTTGATATTCATAGACATTAAAAACTAGCTTAATGTTTATTTATCGGGCAATATACAATTAGTTTTGCAACAGATCTAACGAATAGAGTAGGTCCTGAGAAAAGGATTGTGTTAATTATTTCGATTCGAGAAAACAAAAGTGTGGGGATTTATTTAAGTTATTTAACAGTTAGTTTTATTTTGAAACAACTTTCATATTTCTCTGGCTTTCACCTCATGCTTTCTTGTCATAATGTGAATTAGGGCGCGTGTATTCAAATGAAGTAGAAAGAAGTTAGTAATCAAGGGAAGGTTTTGGAAGGTGAATTTAGAGAGAGAACGTGTTCTGCCTGCCTGATTGCCACTTTGTTATCCTTACCATCGGTTACTGTTGTATACTAATGATTAAATTTCTGTGGCGTTGAGCGCTTTAACCATTAGTCTTGTTTTTACGAATCAAGACCTGCCTGCGCGTTAAGGGGTGTTGGAACCCAAAATTCTTCAAAAAATGGTGATTTCGGATTTTTGCATTTTCAAATTCTCTACACTTTCATCTTCTAAAAACACCATTCTTTAGTCTTTATGAAAATTAGAACTGTAAAGAATCTAGTTTTAATTTGTCATCGAACGATTTGATATATGAGGATTTTTACATAAAAAAAGTTTGTCTCCAAACGTTTGTTCTTAGGAATCACACAGGTATCTAAAAATTTTTATGGCTTATTTATTAGGTTTCCTAATATTTACTCTGAAATGAGTTTTTTTTTTTTTTTTTTTTTTTTTTTTTTTTTTTTTTTTTTTAATTGCTAAATTTTACTATGCTTAACAAAATATTTTGTAAATTACTCTAAAATTCAAAATGTTTCAAGCGCTCATTTCAATCAGATAGGTATACTTTAATTACACAAAAAATTTCAAGCGTTTATCTATAGCAGATTTTGAAAAAAAGATACATCAAAAATGGCCAAGTTAACATTGTCGGTACAGGGGTTTTTGATATCCCTTAAGTGACTTGTGAAAAGCAGTTAGAGTAACTTAATTCTATTCCATTTTAGGTTACTTGTTACCTTCTCCGTTAAGCCAAAATTGTTGGCTTTGTTAAGCACGAGTTGGCGCCATCTGTGAATATATTGAGCTAATAAAGTTATAGAGACATAAGGTTATTTTGGAAGCAGGAGATGTGAAAAATGAGCAAAGCCTTTGCCGGAAATCGAACCACGGACCTCTGGAATACGCGCCCAGCGTGCAGACCACTACACCACGAAGGCACGCTAAGGGAGAAATACCTTATATACGCGCCCTTTTAACGGGCGACTGGGGTTTAGGGGACCCATCGCCAAATCCTGGGTGTGGAGAATCATCATCCACCACCCTTTTAGTTCGGGCGCCACTGTACAGACATTAGGTATTTTTTGGAAGCAGGAGTAAAGAAAAATGAGCAACGCCCTCGCTGAGAATCGAACCACGGACCTCTGGAATGCACGCTCAGCCTGCAGACCACCACGCTACAAAGACATGCTAAGAAGGCGGGAACGATATTTTTTACTGATCAGTAATCACAATTTTGGTTTTCAGAAATTAAAAGAAATAACTCTTTGTAAGATCAGATATTAAAATCAGCATTAAAAAATCAGTCCAACAAAATAATTGCAAGGACACAGTAACAATAAATAAATTAATAAGTATGTCATGAAATTAAGAAACTCAGACTCTTTTTCAATTCGAAATAAAATCATAAAATGTAATATTCGTAATAATAAAACAAAGGTTCCACTAACCCAATGATTTTTTTTTCACTCTTTACGCGCTCCGCCCTTAGGCACTAAACGGAACGGGAATGATGCCCCGTGGAGGTCCTTTTAAGGGAAACTGGCTCGTATCCACGTTACAGATGGGGAAAACCACGAAAACAACCATGCAGCCAGCCCTTTCGCCGGGACTCGAACCCCGGACCGAATTGCCACTGTTTCAACGCTTTTACCGCTCGGCCGCTGGTGGACATATTCCAATGATTTTAGTTTAATATTCTTTTAAAATGTCTGCCCTCAATTGCTACATATAATTACACAGACTATGTCTATAAAATGAAATATTCTTGAGCTGTCTGTTACATAATAGTAGTTGCTGCACATATACTCGTCGTTAACATATGACTGAGCAGGACTGTACCATTTCTTTATTCTTTTTAAGAAATATTAGCTTCTAAAACACCCCGAAGGTTCAAATCCCGCGAAGGGACAGGCTGAATGGGCGTTTTCGTGGTTTTCTCCATGTGTAATGTGTATACAAGCCAGATTGCCTTAGAAATCCTCCACAAAGGTATCCCTTCCCTTAGGCAAGAAAACCCTGGAGGCTTTTCCGTAATCAAAGAAACCAAACTAAATCACCACAGAGAAAACAATAGAGTGGTTTTAAGTCCGGTGATCTTGGTGGTTATTCCACTGAAGTGCCATGTCTAGTTATTTAATTCGAAATATGACGATTATCATTGTGATATCATCTAGGAAATGAGATAACTGTTCATTTAAAATATCTACGCATTTCTTGCCAGCTACAAACAGCAAAATTTAAATTCCAGAATCAGCATTTTGGTTTCATAACCTCACATTGATATAATTTGAAGCACAGGATCGAATTATGGTCAAAAATCGGTATATCATTTCAGAAAAAGCCCAGTTTTGTGTTAAAGTATACTTATGTTAAAACAATGCTATATATAAATCTAATCTATATCCTATGTTACGATTTTAAGACATGAAAAACGCAAGCTGAATAACCTCAAACGGCCCAGCAGAATATTAGATAAAGAACTGCCCCCATCTTTTTCGACCAAAAGGTTTTAGCTAGAATCGGCTATTGGTCTCTACACGGGATTTGGAAGTGTATCATTTTAAATGTCCGAATCACTTTTAAAATTGTTGCCACGAAATAATATCACCCTGTATTACTTTTAAAGAAATTTAAATAATGAAGAAACTGTATGAGCGTATGTATGTTTCAAGCCCTCTCTAAAAACGGCAATACCTTAGGGCCATCAAATTTTGAACAACGTAGTCCTTTACTCGATTTGCACGTCTGGAAGGCCGAATTTTGAATTTTATACTTTATATTTTGTAAACCTTTAAAGAATTTTTAACAAACTCGATGATTAGAAAGCGAGCATTGGTAACAATGTACGGATTAAAACATTGTTGTCTGCAGCTCCCGAGACTGTCTGCTGGAAATTCTAAAGATATGTGTTTTTAAATATTTTGGGATTTTGCTAGTCAACGGAATTTTATATGGCGTAAGAACATGATATTTAATTAATAAATTTAACACTTGAAACGTTAATAATGAAAAGACAAGAAAAATGTTTGTAAGCCATTTCACTAAAAAAATGTACATTGATATGATAAATTCGAAAAAAATAGAGAAACGTATGGCAACACTAAACATTAAATAGGGAATTCTAAACATATTCTGCTATTAAAATTTTTGTGATTTTGCTGTGGAATTGTATATGGCGTAAGTGCGAAGAAAATGAGGCTTAATAACAAAGGTAAAAAGACAAGAAGAAATTTATTAGAAGCAGGGAATGCAACAGCAGACTGCTAGACGGCGAGCTCAGAGAGCGTAGAGAAACATTAACAAACCCTTTTGGGCGACAATTAAAATCTGAGCCCTTTGAGACTTTTCTTTTTTTATTAACTTACTTAAAACATGACTTAAAACATGTGCAATGACCTTGTAGAGGGATTAGGTTATTTAGAAGCAGAAGAAGCGAAAAATGAGCAATACCCTCGCCGGGACTCGAACCTCGGACCTCTCGAATACGCGCCGAATGTGCTGACCATTATACCACGAAGGCATGCTAAGAAGGCAGAAGAAATACCTTATAAACTCCCCCTTTTAAAGAGCGACTAGAGATTAGGGGACCCAGTCGCCAAAGCCTGGTGGTGGGGAATCATCATCCAGTACCTTTTTTTGTTCGGGCGCTACTGTAGAGACATTGGGTTAATTCGCAGCAGGAGTGATGAAAAATAAGCAATGCCCTCGCCGGGACACGAACCTCGGACCTCTTGATACGCGCCCAGTGTGCTGACCATTACACCACGAAGGCTTGCTAATAGAAATACCTTATAACTGTACGTAATTCTTGCGTGCATTTAATTGTGAAATATCTGTAATTAGCATTTGTCTGGCGCTTATAATCTCTCCAGGTTGTTGCGCCATAAAATTTACTACCATCACTACCACCGCCACTACTACCACCTTAACCCATCAAAACTTTTCATTAAAATTTTTGGGCCTTAGTTATGAATCACCCTGTTGTATAATTAGGCTGTGTCTATGTTTGCTTGGAATCTTATCTTCTTTGAAAAAAAATCCTTTTTTTGCATTATTGTAATTGCGTTAATATTTCTTTTCATAGCTGCAACTGTGACGAAGGCACCGAGTGCTTATACGACAGAGATATACTGACCGACTGTGAAGGAAATGAGGATTGCTTACTTAGCAGGAATCTGCTTTTTAAATTTCAATCTCTCTGCCTACCAATATGTTTGCAAGCCTAAGCAAAACCTTTGCACATCGGACCCCACAGGAAGAATATTCCACAGTTCTGGAGCGCTCCATCCGGAAAAAATAGATCACCTGGATAATGAAGTATCTAACATCGACTATGAAATAGCTAGAGTCGTTCAAGCAAACAAATATGAAAAATATGAAAAGGAAACACCTCATCTCGATTATCAATTAGCTCACTTCGATTATGAAGTAGCTAGTCTCGAGCAGTTCGGAACTCAGATTCAGAATTTGACAATTCACCCTGAGAATGAAGCAGCTCATATAAGAATCAGCCAACTCAACAGAAGAATCAAAGAGCTTATTTTAAGAACTGAGAATTTGAAATGGAACGTTTTCAGTTTCAATGAGGATTAGAGAATGAATCATCTCAAGAATGGAGAGGCAACTTATTAACCCTTACGAATATTTCTCATTGAATTACGCTGCTTTGCCATGTTTCAAATAATCCTTTTTGTTCAATATTTACTATTTCCTGTAAATTAGGAATTGTGCATCCAGTACTAATTAGATTAATTTTCAATAAATTCCTCTATACATTATAGTTATCAAGAGTTTTCTATAATCAGAAATCATTATGATTATGCAAAAGGAATTCCGTAAACGAAAATACATATCCCATTTATTTCAGGTTTGTGTGTGGGGAGTTGAAGATGATATCCTTAAGAAAATAACACTTCCACACCACATACATTTAATGAATAATATTAATAGAAAAGCTAAAGATTTGAATTAAATAACAGTACCGTTCTGCATGACTTTAAGTATTTCAAATAGCTACACAGCGCTTGCTATTTTAACAAAGTTCTTTTGTTACCACCTTCGCGTGAAATCAACATCTATCATCATCGTCTTTCGCCTCCCTCTCGCCGCAGGCGCATACGTGATGTCCACTGGTGGCTGCGTTGAACTAACGGATACCACACATATTCTTAAATTTTCTGTTTTAGTACCAAAAGGAAATTAATCAAAGCTCTCCTATAGGTCGTAAATGAGACCAACTAGATACACGTAATATAACGTGCAAAACTATGCTACCCGTCCAAAGAAAATGTATGAAAACATTTTAATATTGAAGAAATTAGTTCGTTCTTTCCAAGCAACAACCAATTCGTAAATAATGTTTTTATTACCCAACCAGGAAACAAAACCCTTTGACACTTCAGGTTAATAGGTATGACGTTATGATTTAAAATTAATGTAAGATAACAACATTTTCTCCATATAAATAAAATAATTAACGAGGCATTTGTTAGTTCATGGAAAGTAGACACTAAAGTTCGTTATTGCGTTTATTGGCAGTCAGAAGAACAAGTTCGTACAATAGACATACAGGTAGTTCGGCGCTCGCAGGCGCCCTCTTGCAGAGAACAAAATCCAATTTTACATAAGGCGCGAACATGCCGCCCAACTTAAAATACTATTTCAACATTCAGTGGTTAAAAATTCAGTGGTTAAAACACAATACAATATTAAAATCGTGATATAATACTTAATTTATAATACATGAATTAAAACTCAAATTGGCAATGGACACAATTTAGTAATATTTCTTTTGACCATGCTATCGGAAGTCTTAATAGTCACAACCCTAACAATGTTATCAATACCAGAATGCAATTGAGTAATTCTACCCATTTTCCATTTAGTTGGAGGTAAGTTATCTTCCTTTATGAGACACAGATCATTAACTTGAAGATTTTTAGTTGGCAAAAGCCATTTTGGTCTTTGTTGTAATCGACACATATATTCTTTGTGCCAACGCTTCCAAAATTGTTGCACCATTTTTTGAATATGTTGCCATCTAGTGAGATGGGAAACTTCAATGCAGTTTGGTTCAAGAATACTTGTTAATGATCTACCAATAAGAACATGACCAGGCGTCAACGCTGATAAGTCATTTGGATCATTAGATAAACGTGTTAAAGGTCTCGAGTTAAAACAAGCTTCTATTTGTGTGAGAAATGTTTCAAATTCTTCGTATGTCAATCTCGCCTTGCCAACTACTCGTTTTAAATGGTATTTTGTTGATTTTATGCCAGCTTCCCAGAGTCCACCCATATGAGGCGCACCTGGAACGTTTAGATGCCATTTAATGCCATTATCAACCAAATATCTACTAACGTTTTGGTTAAAAGTTGCAGCTCTAGCAAGCCCTTCAAATTCCATGAGTTTGCGTTTTGCTCCAACAAAACTGGAATCGCAATCACTATATATATCACTGCTTTTGCCTCTGCGGGAAATGAACTTCTTAAGAGCTGCAATAAAGCATCTGCTGAAAGATCAGTTACTAATTCTAAGTGAATAGCTCATGTCGTAGAACAAACAAATAGAGCTATATATGCCTTTGAATGACCTAGAGCCACGACCCTTATTTTCTTTAATTTGAAAAGAACCTACGTAATCCACTCCGCAGAGCAAAAATGCAGGAGCAGGGGAAACGCGACTAGACGGCAAATCGCTCATCAAATTTATTAGTGACGAGATGCTCTAATTTTGCAACACTTTATACATTTCCTAACTAAATCTCTGATAACAGCTCTACCATTTATGATCCAATATTGTTCTTGAATGCAAGATTGCATAAGTTGTGGACCTGCATGCAAAAGTATTTCATGGTAATGTCTAACAATGAGATGAGTTAAAATGTGCCTCTTTGGAAGCAAAATTGGATGCCTAAAGCCATATGCAAGGTTTGCATGTCGCAAGCGACCGCCCACCCTGAGAATACCTGAATTAACTAAAAATGGATTTAAAGATAAAATTTTGCTTGTACAAGATAATGATTGATTTCTGCTTAAAGTGTTAATTTCATTTTTAAATTCAACATATTGCATTAATTTAATTAACACATGCATAGCTTTAGTTAATTCACTAGTTTTTAAAAGTCCATTTACCTGATCTTCTGAATTTCTACAGTTATTTACAAACCTCAGACATAATGCTATAACACGTTTAAGTTTGGTGAGAGAAGAATATTTATAAAATAAATCATGAGCGTCTGTCAAGTGACTGGCAGCAGTTGTTGACTGTAAAGCACATCTTTGCTCTGGCACAGAATCATTCAGTAGTGGTGCAGATAATGCTGGCTGAAAAGGAAATAAATTATACAATAAATCTGGACCACGTAGTCACAATGAAGTAACCAGTGCTGATGATGACACACCACGAGTTGCAAGATCAGCAGGATTAGTAATTTCCACTCACATGATGCCACTGGACAGGAGAAGATAAAGTCTGGATTTTTGCTATTCTGTTGGCGATGAAGGTCTTCCATCGGCTTGCATGAGATCCTATCCAGGCTAATACAATAGTGGAATCAGTATGAAAATAAGCTTGTGATATAGGAGTATTTAAAGCTCTACAGGTGAAATCCATCAATTTAGTCAACAGGAATGCTCCAAAAAAGTTCCAATCGGGGAAGTGATATGGTTTTTAGTGGTGCAACTCTTGTCTTGGCTATCACCAACTGAACATTGATTTGTCCAGTATCTAACACAGAACGATAATAAATTGCAGCGGCGTAGGCCTTCTCTGAGGCGTCACAAAACCCGTGCAGTTGAAACTGGTTATATGATTCAACCAACAAGAATCGTGAAATTTTGATACTTTTAATAAATATCTTCCGTAAGTTGTTTCTACTCACATTCAATATCTGGAGGAACCTTTTCATCCCACTGCAACTGATGTTTCCACAATCTTTGCGTGATCACTTTATACCGAACCGTGATCGGTGCCAACCATCCAAGTGGGTCAAAGGTCTTTGCGATTATTGAAAGTAATGTTCGTTTGGTTAAGACTTCAGGATATGATGAATTGACTTTGAATAAAAACATATCTGAAGCTGAATGCCACAGGATACCTAACGTTTTTACATTATCATCATTGTCTATGTTCAAAGAAACATTTGATAAGCACAAATCTGGATATTCAAGACTTCTTTGCTGTTAGAAGCCCATTTTCTTAGAACAAATCCTGCACGTGACAACATCTGATTCAATTGCATTTGTAATTCTATAGCTTCGGTAACTGAACTGGCTCCGGACATCAAATCATCAACGTAGAAGTCCCTAAGACACATCTTGGAAGCCAAAGGAAAATTAGTTGCTTCATCTATTGCTAACTGCTGTAAACATTTTACCGCAAGGTACGGTGCTGATGCAGTACCGTAAGCAATCCTAGTTAATCGAAAATCCTGAATTGGTTTATAAAGTGAATCGCGCCAGACTATTCTTTGAAAGTGTGCATCTTGTAGTATAATTTGTCTGTATATTTTCTCTATGTCTGCAGTTATAGCTATTCTGTGAATTCTGAAACGAATAATAATGTTGTTAGATCAGTCTGTAACTGTGGACCAACCATCAATTTCTCATTAAGAGAAATACCGCTAGAAGATTTTGCAGAACAATCAAATACCACTCGAAATTTATCACCATTTTTATTCGGAACTGAATGGTGCGGAAGGTAAAAACTAGAATTAGCTGGAACATCAATTTCATTTTCTGGAATCAATTCCATATGACCAAGTTGTTGATAATCTTCCATAAATTTGTAATATTGACTGGAAAGAGATTTATTCTTAATAAATTGACGTTCAGTGCTTTGTAAACGATGTACAGCAACATCCCTAGATGATCCAAGTTCATTGCTAGATCTACGAAATGGAAACTTAACAACAAATCTACCTGTTGAGTGACGAGAAAAATTCCGCTTGAAATGATTTTCACACTCAATTTCTTCCTTTGTGTAATGCTTTATCTCCGAAATTTCTTCCAATTTCCAAAATGTTTCAAGCTGGAACTGAACATTGGTACAACTAGCATTATTAGATACAATTGTTTGTGATACACTTTTAGTCTTGCCGATAATGACCTAGCCGAATATTGATTCCAAGGCTGTTAACGAATAATCCGGAACAGTTAAACATTCATGAAGCATTATCTCGCCAAATACATCTGCGCCTAAAAGAATATCTATTGGGCCAGGCTGG